GTCGTTTATCCATTTTCCGTTTTATTTCAGCCGCTAGTTCCGGGGGTATCTCGCTATCTGTTCCAGGCCGTGTCGTGTTATCCTCGTCGTCCGCGTGAATGATCAGTATGTCCTCGTTCTCTCGTTCCCAGTCTGAGATCTTCTGTGGCGTTCTCCATGTTGTCTATTCGGTTTGTTCGTCCCACAGGTTTTCCCTTTTTGTTGCGCTTCTTTCTATGTGCTCCGTGCCGTCGTTTTTTTCCTGTTCGTTTGTGGGTGTTGCCGTAATCCGTGGGTCTCTTGCTGTGGTTCCGAGGTTCTCAATTAGTGTCATTATCGGTGTCCGTTGCATGTCCTTCATCGCTCCTCGTGTTGTTCTTGGGTCGTTTGCTGACTCGTTGGCCTTCCTTGTTCCATCCTTTGTTACCGCCGTTGTTATTCCGTTCTCCTTTGTCCTTTCCGGCCCTTTTTCCTGCACCTGTGCCATTCCTGCGTCTATTCGTTCCGTGTTCGTGGGTTTGTGTGCTATCCTGGTTCGTGCTTGTGTTGTCATCAGCCCTGCTTCGGCGCCCGCTCGCAGTTTTGGCGCTGCCTGGATTGGAGCTGTCTCCGCGGGGCGCTTCGGTGCCTGCCGTGCCACTGGCGCCGCCCGTGTGGTTCTCCGTGGTAGTAGCGGGGCCGCCGTGATGATCGCCGTCTTTTTCCGCTGCTCCGCGATCTCCTTCATCCGGTTCCGGAACTTCTCGCACGTCTTTTTGAATTTGTCCATGCTCGTGTTCCTGTGTGAGTGTATTCGTGTTGTTAGGTTCGGTTTTGTCAAGTGTTATTCCCTGTTCTCCTAGGTACTTCTTCATGTTATTTACATATGCTCTTTGCGTCTTGCCCGACCCTATCTCTTTCACTACCGCTATTACCGGTGACTCTAGCTTTATGACACTGAATGGACCCTCAAACTTCGGTGTGAGCTTGGCTGAAAACTTGTCGTAAGCTTTTGACAGTGGGTGTTGTCGAACCCACACCATGTCCCCCTTTTTCGGCTTCCATTCGCGTTTCCTCAGGTTGTATGTTCTGGCTTGGTCCTGCGCTTCTCTTTCCATATTCTTTCTTGCTAGCTGACATGTTTCCTTGACTCGCGCTATTCTTTCTTCCATGGTCTCCTCGTTTATCGCTGAGCCTTTCGTTGCTTCGTCAAACAGACTTCCCGCCAGCCTCGGTTCTCTCCCGTATGTGAGGTATGCCGGGCTGTATCCAGTTGATTCCGATAGGCTGCTGTTAAATGCTAGTGTCAGCTCCGGTAGTACATCGTCCCATCGGTCGTGCCTTTCTCCCGCGAACTGTGCGATCATGGTTTGACATCTGCATCCTGAATTTGTGGCTTGTGAACTGCACTCCGTTATCTGAGATTAACACCTTTGGAGCCCCGGTGCGTGCCAGTATTTTCTCTCGGAACGTTTTGAGGACTGCGTCTGTGGTCGCTTTCCGTATTGCTGTCAGCTCTACCCATTTTGAGAACTTGTCAATGAATACCAGCAGCATATTGTTGCCGTGACTTGATCTGGGTAATGGGCCCACGAAATCGACGCATAGTGTTTCTCCCGGTGCCTCCGCTATCTGTGTCAGCATTCTTCCGGACGCCTGCTGTTGTGACACCTTGTACTGCTGACATGTCATGCATCGGTCAATATAATTCTTGACTTCCCGATGCATTCCTGGCCAGTAGTATCGCGTAGCAATCCTGTGCTTGGTCTTCCTTACTCCCAGGTGTCCTGCCGTTGCTGTTTTGTGGTTTTCTTCCAATACTCTCGCTCGTTGGTGTTTGCCCACGCAGAGTTTCCAGGGTTGTATGTCTTCGTCTGCTGCCCATGACGGTAGGTGCCTATATAACTCGTTGTTTTCGACACAGTAGTCTGGCTACCGACTCGGATTCTTTTCAATGTCTATTAGTTTTTCCCTAATCCATTTGTCCTCCGCTATCTTGGCACTTTGGGCCTCTTCGGTAGGTTATCTTGACAGTGTATCGGCTACTACATTGAGTTTCCCCCTCCGATATCGTATCTCGAACGAGTATGGTTGTAATGCCAATGCCCATCTCGCCACCCGTCCTTACGGACTCTCTATGGAGTTCAGCCACTTTAACGCCAGGTGATCCGTTATTACCACGAAGTGGTATCCTTCCAGGTACATCCTCATCTTGTGTATACCCCAGTGTATCGCGAGGCATTCTTTCTCTGTTGCTGAGTAGTTCATTTCCCCTTTCCTTAGTTTGCGGCTCGCATATGAGATGACGTGTTCTCCGTCGTCGTCTTCTTGCGTGAGTACTGCCCCTAAGCCGCAGTTGCTTGCATCTGTTTGCAGTATGAATGTCTTCGTGAAATCTGGGCATGCGAGTACGGGTGCTTCTGTCAGTGCCTTTTTTAATTCCTCCGTTGCTCTCCCATGTTCTTCTGTCCACTCGAACTTCGCGTTCTTCTTTATCAACTCAAACAACGGCTTCGCGATTTCGGTGAATCTGGGTACGAATCTTCTGTACCATGAGGCGACTCCCAGGAAGCTGTGGACTTGTTTTGTCATTGTCGGCTCGGGCAGATCCTTGATTGCGGCTATTTTGTCGGAGTCTGTGTGTATCCCCCTCGCGCTTACTACATGTCCCAGGTACTTCAACTTGTCCTAGAAGAAATGACATTTTTCCGGGTTGATTCGTAAGTTTGCTTTCCATAGCCTTGCCAGTACCTCATGGAGCTTCTCCAGGTGTTCTCTCTTTGTTCTGCCGATCACTACAATGTCGTCGAGATAGGCGAACGCGAATGGTTCCATCCCCGGGCCTATCACTGAATCCAGTGCCCTTTGGAACGTTGCTGGTGCGGTGTGCAGACCGAATGGCATGACCTTCCATTGGAATAATCCTCGTCCCGGTACTGTAAATGCCGTGTACTGTTTGCTGTTCTCTTTCATGGGTATTTGCCAGTAGCCGTTCTTTAAGTCCAGTGTGCTGATGTATTTTGCCTCTCTTAGTTGATTAAGGATGTGGTCCATCCGTGGTACCGGGTATGCGTCTCGTTCCGAGTGCGTGTTCAACTGCCGGTAGTCAATACATAGTCTCCACTGGTTGTTCTTTTTTTAACAAGCACTACTGGTGAGCTATAGGCTGAGTGCGAGGGTTCGATCAGGTCTTGTTGCAGGAGTTCCTCTATTTGGTCGTGAATTATCTTCTGCATTGCAGGGTTTTTCGGATAGTACCTTTGCTTAAGCGGTCTGTCGTGTTTCATGTATATCTTGTGCTTAGCAATGTGACTTGTCCCGTGAATTTCACCCATCAGCTTTAGCTGCCTTTTGAGGAATTCCTCGACTTCTGCCTCTGTCGGTTCTGCTGCCGCTATTCCTACTTTCTGATGTTTCTGTCGTTTTCCAGTTTGTGGCTTGAGCTGAGTGGTTAATCCTCCGCATTGCAGTGTCGTGTCACACTGTGCCAAGAAATCTACCCCTAGTAGTACACCTCCGATAACCTCGTCCAGAATTAGTAGCGTTATATCCGCTTTGCTTTCTCCTAGTTTGATCTTTAGACGTAGTTCTTCTGTGGCCGTCGTTGTAGTTCCATCGGCTAGATTTATTACCTCGTCTGTTGGTTGGACTTCGCCATACTGTCGGAGTTTGTCCGCTAGTTTTTCGCTTATGAAACTTCTCGTTGCGCCTGTGTTGCCTATTCCTTCGACCCGCGCGCCCGCCACCTTGACTTGGGCGATGATCTTCCGGCCGTCAAACCTGATCATTGTCTCTGGTGGTATGTCTGGGTTGGCACTGGGTGTCAACCAGCGCCTCTTCCGTTTCCCTCGTACCTTCTACAGCAGTCGATTGTTCTTGTGTTGTCCCTTCCACATATCCAGCAGAACAGTCTTGCCGGGTTGTTACACCGATGCGCCATATGCCCTGGTTGTTTGCATCGTCGGCACAGGTTGTTTGTGTTGGGTATTCCTGCCGTTCTTGCTTGTGTCTGCTGTGGGTATTGTGTTCCTAGGGCTTCGAATTCCTCCGTTAGTCTTAGGTAGTCCTGTAGCGACTGTATTTCGCTACGTTTGGCATATCTCTTGAATTCTACGGTGCTGTTCCTATATGTCCATTCTGGTTTTTGTTCCTCGCTTAGTGTGGTGTGAGACATCATCTTCCGTAGTTCCCGTACGTAGTCTTTTGCGGGTTCCTGTGCGTACTGCTGACGTCTCGTTATCCGCTCCATTGCTCGTTCCCTGTAGTCCGCCGGTACGTAATACCGCGTAACCTGTGTCTTGAACGTTGCCCAATCGTGAATCTTTTCTGGGTTTGTCCGCCACCAGTCTAGGGCTGCACCTTCTAGTATTACTACCGCTGCTGCTGTTATGTTTTCCAGCCCTATATCGTAGGCCGCTGCCAGTTCTTCCAACCGTGTTATGAATTCTAGCGCATCTCCTGTCCCGTCGAATGTTTCGCCCCATCCTCGGATGGTATTTATGGCTGACGCGCGTTCCGATTGGCCGTTCCTTTTGTGTTCTGGCTTTGGCGAGCCTTCTTGAGTCCTTTCGGAGCTTGCTTCCTCCAAGTCTCTTTCTGTGTCTGTGCTGTTTGTTGGTTTCCTTTCTTTTTCCGCCTGCAGCATTGCTGTGATTACTTCCCAGTTTACCTCCACTACGGGGCTTTGTCTGTTCCTTGCATGTCGCTGGCTTAGTTCTCTCAGCCTGTTGATTCTTCCCTCTTCGTGGTCTCCGTTTTTTATGAAGTCTGATAGCAGGCGTCCTTGGTCTTCCACTAGCTGCTCTGGTTCTATTCTAAACTCCCTTATGTACTCTTCTAGCTGGGTCTTGTTTAGGCTTGTTACCCATCCCCGAGTTAACTTCTCTGTTGCCATGGCTTTTTACTTTGTTATTAAGGACTACGAGGTTGTCAGGACGTTGGGCGCCACTGTAACGACCCTCTTTTGGGGTGCTCAGCCTAGCTCGCCGGAGTCGGGGTTCGTACAGAAAATTTGTAATGCCCGAGTCCCTCGTGTCCCCGGTCTAAACGCCGGGCTCGGCGTCGTCAGAGTCGGAGATCTGGATGATCTCCTCCGCCTCTCCCTTGTCGCTGGAGATCTCCTCGTAATCCGGCCGGAATTGGGGTGACGGGATCCGTGGCTCGTCGACGGATTGGTCGGAGGCGGGGCGCATTGGAAGCTCCACTCCGTCTTCGTCGGGAGACTCCCCGAAGAGATCCTCCATGTCCAAATCTTCTGCCCCGTGGGCCATCTCCTCCAGCACGTCGTGTGGAAGGTCGCCTAGGCACTCTCGTAGCGCCGCTTCCACCTCGCCGTCTGAATCTGGTTCCCGTGCAGCCCCGGACGGGACCAGCGGTGCTATGGCCTGGACTGCGCGTGTCCCAGGCGTTGTTGGAGTCGGGCCGGTGCGCGAGCGTGCCGGAGTGATGGCAGCTCGCGGCGCCGCCCTCGGTGATGGTGTTACGTGGCCGGTAGATGTCGTGGCGACCCTACCGGTGTGCGGGCGCGTTGACGGGCCGACTGCTCGAGGTGCTGCCCGTGGTGGCAGCCCCTGGATGCCGGTAGGCGTCGTGGACACCCGGCCGGTGTGCGGGCGCGTCGATGGGCCGGCTGCTCGTGGTGTTTCCCGTGGCGATAGCTTCCCTCCTGGGGCTTGCTCTTGGGTGGCCTGTGTTGATGGAGGCTGTGTTGTGCGCAGCGGGACGAAAGGCGGCGGCCCTTGATCCGTGAGTTGCCGCTTGCCCTGGTCGGCAGGCGTGCGGGCGGCCTCGGTTGGCCGTGGTCGTGGCGGGGTGGTGTCTACCCGTATTGGGCCGAATCGGTGATCCGGCGGAACGTCAAGCTGCTCCGCGGACGGAATTTGTCCGCGGCCTCCGGCCACACGGAGTGGCGCGAGGAGTGGAGGTTGGGGCCGATGCCCCAACTGGAGACCCCCCAGCAGCTCGTCAATGGCGAGCCCTATCCAGGCGTCGTCCCTAGGTGATGAGATGGTGCTCGTCATCGTGGCGAGATGGCTGATCCGGGTTGGTGGTGATGCGGCCGTGCTCGGGATCGTGGGCGTGATGCGAAGCGCGTGTGTTCATCGCTGCCGTGCGCTGGATTTCCCGAGGGTGCGGCCGTGTGCTAGCCCGTGGACGGTGGGTCGCGGCCGTAGAACGGCTCTGTTGATGCTGCTGGCGACGTCGCTCTGCCGCGATCTGCTGCACCGTGTGTGTTTGGGCTGCGTGTTGATCGATGTGTCTGTGGAGAGAACAGAGAAGGCGTCGTTAGGGGACGCTTTCTTAGGACCCTACCTAACCGAGAGTTGCTCGATTTCTAAGTTTCTTTGCGAAACCCCCTAGGGGGGTAGGAGCGTTTGACAGGCGCGCCTGTCAGCAAGTGGCCCCTCTGAACATGGCCAACTTTCGATCGGGGCGTGGCTTAGTGGCGGCGGCGTGGAGTGGGGCGGTTCTCCCCAGGGCTAGTGTCGGTGGCGTCTGACTGCTTTGCGCTGTGCGTGTCCTCGGCGTGGTCCTCTTCGTAGTCGCTGTCATTGCTCGCGCCTTCGGCGTGGTCATCTGCTTCTCCCTGTCGGTAGGGTTTCAGCTGTCCCAAACTCGCAGTACGGCGTCGGCGGCTGCCGGGTACGTGTAGCTGGACGATGTTTGGTGAAGGGAACTTCGCCACTCGAAAGGGTCCATCGTATTTCGCGGCCAGTTTGGCGGTGAATCCTTTAGCAGCGTTGAAGAGTGCGTGGCATCTTACCAGCACTAGAGATCCTACAGGCGGCTTCCAAGTCCGCCGGCGCAGATTGTAGTGTCGGCCCTGATCCGCCGTAGCGCGCTCGGCGTTGTCTCGCACCACTCGGAAGATGTCCCTCAGCTGCTGGCTTCGGTCCATTGGGGCCACCTCTGGGGTGCCTCGCCCCGGTGTGAGCTCATCGTATAGAGTCCGTGGCAGCCTCGGTTCTCGCCCCTGCGTCAGGAAAGCTGGGCTAAATCCTGTTGTATCGGAGACACTGCTGTTGATGGCCAGGGAGATTTCCGGCAACAACTGGTCCCATGTATTCTGCGGGCCTCCATTTAGGTAATGGGCGATCATCGTCTTGATCGTCCTGTTAGCTCTCTCCGTCGGGTTCTGCCTTGGCGTATACGGCGCCGTGTGCTGCAGCTCCATGCCCAGCGATTTGCAGAAGTTCTGGAAGGATCGCCCTGTGAACTGCGTGCCGTTGTCGCAGACGAAGGTCCTCGGCACTCCGAATCTGCTCAGGATCCGTTCCCGGAAGGCGCGTTCAAGCTGTGCTCCAGTGGCTTTCCGCAGTGGCACCAACTCCACCCACTTGCTGAAGGCATCTAGAAACACCAACAGCATGGTGTTGCCTTGCTTCGATCGTGGAAGCGGTCCAACGAAGTCCGCGCAGAGAACCTGGAATGGCTCGTCGACCTGGCGGGTGAACATCATCCCCGCAGGTTTCTCCTGGCTTACCTTGAACCTCTGGCAACCCGTACAATGCGAACATAGCGCGCGACGTCGCGGAATAAACCCGGCCAGTAGTATCGCTGAGCCACGCGATTACTAGTTTTCCGGATTCCCAAGTGTCCGGCGGTTGGATGGTCATGGCATTCCTCGAGGACGCGTGGGCGGTAATCCGCCTCAACACACAGCTTCCATGATGTGTACTCCTCCTCTTCTGGCCGGAGACCAATGCGGCGATAGAGTTGTCCGTTCTCCTCCCTGTAGTCAGGGAACTTGGCGGGTTCTGTCCGAACCTTCTGGAGCATCTTCTTGATCCAGCGGCAGTTGACTCCTTTTACCTGTGCTTGCTGCGCGGTAGGCAGCGGTTGGCGAGAAAGGGCGTCGCCCACAAGATTTTGGGCCTCTTTCCAGTAATGGACGTCATACTGGTACTGCTGCAACTCGAGAGCCCAGCGTGCAATCCTGCCCGTCGGGTTGTCAATCGAATTCAGCCATTTGAGCGAGTGATGATCCGTCAGGACGTCAAAACGGTACCCCTCGAGGTAGCATCGCATCTTCCTGATTGCCCAGGCAATGGCGAGGCACTCCTTCTCCGTAACGGAGTAGTTCCTCTCGGCCGGATTGAGCCGGCGGCTGGCATAAGCGACGACTCTCTCCTGCCCCTCGATGGTCTGCGTCAATACGGCTCCTATTCCGTATTCGCTGGCATCCGTCTGTAGAACGAACTTCTGGCCGAAATCCGGACAGGCCAAGACCGGTGCCTTCGTTAGTAGCGCCTTCAGCTCCTGAAAAGCGTGATCCTGCCTCGATGTCCACTCCCACTTTTGGCCTTTCTTCAGCAACGCGGTCATGGGTTCGACCACGTCGGCGAAGTTTGGAAGCGGCGATACCAGGATGAAATCCCAAGGCACCTCCGGAGTTCCTTTAGGCAAGCTGGTGGCTTCAGCTCGCGAATCGCGGCAACTTTGTCCGGATCGGTATGGATACCCGCCTTGCTGATCACATGTCCCAGGTAGACGATGCGGCGCTGAAAGAAGTGGCACTTCCCTCGATTCAGGCGTAAGTTTGCACGGCGCAGGCGTCGGAAGACCTCTCGAAGGTTGGCGACGTGCTCCTCCAGGGTCGAGCCTATGACGATATCGTCCAGGTAGGCGAATGCGTGCGGCTCCATGTCAGGTCCGATGACTGTATCCAAAGCGCGCTGGAACGTTGCAGGGGCGGAATGCAGGCCGAACGGCATCACCCGCCAGTGGAATAATCCTCTACCGGGAACGGTGAAAGCCGAACACTCTCGGCTGCCCGGGGCTACTGGTATCTGCCAGTATCAATTTTTCAAGTCCAGCGTCGAGATGAACTTGGCGTTCCGGAGGCGTTCCAGAATCTGATGAATCCTCGGGAGCGGGTAGGCATCGGGAACCGAGTTTTCGTTGAGTTGACGGTAGTCAACACACATGCGTACGTCTCCGTTTTTCTTCGCCGCAATCACAATGGGCGCGCTGAGCGGACTCTTCGAGGGCTCGATCCGCCCGTCTCGAAGAAGCTCGTCGATCTGTTTGTCGATGATGGCCCTCATGGCCGGGTTCCTCGGGAAGTATCGCTGCTTCAGTGGCCGATCGCTGCGCATGATGATGTGGTGCTCCGCTATGTGGGACACCCCTGAAAGGTTCTCGAACAAGGCCAACTTCCTTTCCAGGAATTCCTTTACCCAGGGCTCTGGGTAGCTGCGGGTCTCGAGCTGTTCCGCCTCGGCTGAATCTGGATCCCCAGCGGGGTGACTCAACGAGTTAATGTTTCCGCAGAGAGGCGAGTCTTGCGCCGGCGTGTCCTCGGCGTGGTCCTGGAAACGGACACGCTTCATGGAGGTGCGAAATGGATTTCGCTGCGCGGCGGTGGCATCCGCCACAGGCAAGACATGGCTCCAACTTGGCGGCTGGTTCCCCATCGTGGACGGGTCTATGCCCGGGATGACTGCCATCCTCTGGGAGGATGTGCTCTCCTCTCAGGCAGGCGCGGTGTTGACGGTCTCCCGGTTGGTTTCGAGGACTGTTCCCCGAGGGACGGCGCGTGGCGCCGGTTGCGGCGGTTCTCTGACCGTTGCTGGTTCCCTGTGGCTGGAGCGTGGCTCCGTCGTCGCTGGCTCCCGGCGGGCAGAGTGTGACTCGGCCGGCGGGCTTCGTGTTGAGAGCGTGGCTCTCTCGGCTGCGGCTTAGGGCGTGGCCCTCTGTGAGGGTTGGAGTGTGGCTCCTCAAAGTGGACAGAGCGTGGCTCCTCGAAGCGGACAGAGCGTGTCTCTTCCCTCCGGCGTCTTGCGTTGGCTTGTTCTTGAGTCCATGGTGGCTCCGTGTACTGGTCGGGCATCAGGCACTGCATGGTGGCTCCGATCCTGCGAAGAAAATCCATGCCTAGGAGAACGTCGTCAAGGACTTCGCTCATCACTAGCAGGATGGTTGGAGCGCGTTTGCTCCCCAGGTGGATATTGGCGGCGAGGGCCCGAGTTAGTTCCCGGCATGTCCCGTCGGCCAACTTGACTTGGGTGCGAATATCTCGCGTGTTGTCCGCGTTGCCTAGCTCTCGGGCTAGGTCCTCGCTGATGAAGCTATGCGTAGCTCCGGTGTCCAGGGTGGCCACGAATCCTCACCCTTCCATGGTGATGGCGGCGCGAATCCGTCCCTGGTGTTGGTGGAGGGTTCCTCCTACTGGCTGCGTGGGTTGAACGGGTTCCCCGGGTGATTCGCGGTCACTCGAGGCCCGTTCCCGTTTTCCGATGCTGCACGCCGACAGCAATCGATAGTCCGGGTTCCCCTGCGTCCGCAGTCCCAGCAGAAAATGACGCGTGGATTCCGGCACTCGGCCGAGAAGTGTCCCGGTTGGCCCCAGTTGCGGCAGGCGTCGCGAAGGTTGACTGGCTCCGATGTGACGAGAGAGGCTGTGCTCTGGCTCGTGTTCGCGTTTCGGCTGGTACCTCCGTTGAAAGGGTTGCCCACTTGGGCTGCTGGTGGGGCACGGCGCGACGTCCGCCCGGCTTCCGTCCCATAGTTGAGTCTAGCTTCCTGTCGAGGGCTCGGAGAGCGATGATCTTGGCCTCCATTCCGGCTGCGCGTCACCTCGTAGTCCACTACCAGGTGGGTCAGCTCCGCCAGGGTGCGGAAATCCTGCCTCCTTGTGTAAAGTTGATATTCCGGCAGCATATTCTCGTAGATCCTTTCCAGTTCCCGGTCCGGGGAGAATCCTGCCCGACGCATCTGCAAATGGCTTGTTGGGCTTCTGGAAATGCGTCCTGATTTCGTCCTCCAACCTCTGATAGTACCGCGGTGGCAAGAAAAAATTGAGAAATTCGCGGCGAACCTCGACCCAGCTGGCTTGTTGGAGTCCGCTCGTGCGGAACCAACTTTCAGCTCGGCCGGTCAGCAGCACCACCAGGGCTTGAGCCAGATATCTCCGGTCGATCCGGCAAGTATCGGCCCGCTTCTCGATGTGCTCTATGAACCCGAGTGGATCCGTCGTTCCATCGAACGAAAGACCCCACTTCGTCATCCTGTCGATCAG